CACACACACACACACACACACACACACACACACACACACACACACACACACACACACACACACACACTTAGACAATAACGTTCTGACATGCAAACCCACACACATAAACTGTGTGCCATATAAACAACATCGCCTCTGCTTTTGATTTGATTGAGAGCACTACAGCACTATAGGCAGAATAAAATCAATGGCTTCATACGAACCAACAAGGGCTGCATCCATCCATTCACCGTGCAATTGCTCTGCCTCCTGAATCAATGGCAATTCTCCCGCTACAAAATCATTTGCTGGGTTTGGGGGCAGGAGAAATAAAAATGCATGGAGAACTCGAGCACGCGATCGAAAACAACTGACAGGGTATGTCTGCTTGTTATGAGTAGCTATGGTGCGTATAACCTAAGATAAAAAATATATGAGCAGACAATCAGACAAGCTCTCATTTTATTATCACAATAGAAGGACATTATAAAGCACTTACTCCCTCATGCATAATTCAGCTCAAAAAGCACCCTTAAACAACCTTGAAATGTGGGGCATCTCCTCCAGTCTAATGCATCTGGTAAAAGTTAATGGCCAAATGCACATCTATTGTCCATTTATTAGCCCTGTTACTGTCCTGCTTGCATTAATTCATAAGGAAAGCAGCAGGTCTGTGGCCAATCAATGGTACTCCTGGACTGGACGGGTATTGATGTGCGGAGTCTTAATGGAAAGAGAGGGGGGGTCGACGAGTGCTTTGACTTTACCTAACTCACATTACGACTTCTCAGAAGCGACTGTTGTCCAGCAGTTAATGGATTGGAGAGGATGAGAACAGTTGTTGGAGAGGCAGCAATTAGATATGAGTGAACAGAGGAGTCTCTTTAGAGTGTGTTGATTCACTTGTGCACTCTGCACAGGCAGAGGTGCAAAGAATATTGATTGTATCTGTGGATGACAGTGATTAATGTCTCACAGCAACCGCTTCATTTATTTATTTTTTATATACAGCATCATAAAATAGCTCTTAGCGTTAATATTTGTTGGTGAGGTTACTTAAATCCAGATGTACTCCCATGAGAGTTTAAAGGCAGGTGGTGGTGCCGCCATAAATACAGATTTTAAATTTTAATGTGTTAACAGTAATTACACTAATTTCTTGTTGAATCATGAGGTCCCACGTGATATGAGCTTTTTTTTGTTGTCTACACATTTCACTCTTCAGCTGGTGCCAACTGGTGTTGGATTGTCACAAATTACAGTAACTTATAAAAACAGTTTCTGATGAATAAGTGGGCTACAGCGTGTTGTTGTTTTTGTTGAGTCTAAATGCAGACCAAGTCCAGAGGTAATAAGCAGGCAGGCTAAGACCAGAGCATGACTAAACCAGGGATTATTTACTGGAAAAAAAAATTGGACCAAGTAACATTGAGTTGAAAAAGATTTGGTAATAAGCAAAGCATGAGGAGATGCAGAATAAATTAATAAGCGAAAGAAAGGAAGACTCAAAATGGACAGTTTAACAACATAAAACAGGAAGTAACAAAGAAGATATACAACAGAATTAATTTATTTAAAAAAAAACATAAAAAAATTTACAGTAGATCAACCCAAAGACAATAGAATTCAAGAGTCAAACACTAAACAAAACCAAACTTTCGGACCATAACATAAAAACCCTTAGGTAAAAGTTTAAAGCTGCTCACAATAATCGGAAAGTTAAGTATTTTTACACAAACTCTAAAAAAAAGAATTGAATGTATGGTTGAATTTAATTAACCAAATTGTGTCAACTGGTTCCACTAAGCCAAGTTGAATAAATGTTAAGTAACTTACTTATCTCTGTTCAGTGGAACCAGTTGACATAACTTAGTCAATTCAACACTTTATTTTTTTAGAGTGCATAAACAAGTCCTTTCATGAGTTCTGGTCATATTTAAATTTGTAGCGTGGAATGAGGTGTTCACTTTTAAAGTAAAGAACTGAAAGTGTAATTTTTATGTTTTCAAAGTAACAAAATTAAAGTGAAAGTTATGAGTTAAAAATACTTGGTAAAAATACAGATCCTCAAAAAATGACTTAAGTCCTTTAACAAAGTAAATGTACTTTGTTTTATACACTTCTGCTCAAGACTTTCTTTATTGTTAAAAATAAAACAGATTTTTCTAAAATGCCTTTCTGACTCTAGTCTCGCCAAACATGATCAAAAAGCCTCTCAGTTAATAATAATAATAAAAAACAATCAAAAAGTTGACTTGCTTGGGTTTGTAACCTCTTTAAGCAGTCCTAGAAACAAGGCAGAACCCTGGACAACTACCTGCCACTCACAAGTATGTCTTCACACTTACATCACCAGTTTGCATCGTTCATGATTATGTGATCCTCGCTGTTTGCAAAATCTCGCCCTCCTTCTCTTTACTCCCTTTCCCCCCCTCTCTCCCTGTTGCTCATAATTCTCTTTCAGCCGAGCTCAAAGAAAGGAGATTTTTATC